ACATGATTTGTTGAAATGATTAGAGGACTTCGTTAGGATTACGATAGACGCACTTCAGTTCCATGATGGTTGGTGTCCTGTCACCTACTCGTTACTAACTACGTTGATGTCCCGCCCTCTTCTACAGTGCGGAAACTTTTCGATCTTTTAGCAGTTTCACTCACGGTGCTCTCTCAAATCACGAATGTCATAAGGGATACAAAACTATTTCCAAGATCGACTTTCTCTTAACCTCGGCATTGGAATATGAATGTGTCGTTTTCTTGTTCAGCAATCGCGAGGTTTTTAAACAGCATACATTTACTTCCATAAAAACACAATACAATACAACGCTAGCTGACGTTTCGGCAGTATCGCCTTCTTCAGAGCCTGGAAGGGTATACTGATATACAATCTACTAGGCCAAACGCTTCAATAACACTTACAAGAAGACGAAGAACTCTCCGGCAATTACATAATCAACAACATGATTATGTAATTGCCGGAGAGTTCTTCGTCTTCTTGTAAGTGTTATTGAAGCGTTTGGCCTAGTAGATTGTATATCAGTATACCCTTCCAGGCTCTGAAGAAGGCGATACTGCCGAAACGTCAGCTAGCGTTGTATTGTATTGTGTTTTTATGGAAGTAAATGTATGCTGTTTAAAAACCTCGCGATTGCTGAACAAGAAAACGACAAAACTATTTGTCAACGAAACAGACAGGGACTTTTTGATAGAAATGTGCTATATGACGACTGCGATACTGTGACAAAAAAATTAATTTAAATATGTATGTTAAACAATAACCTGTATCCTTAAAAACCATGTGACTGTTACAGAGCATGTTTTATTCATAATCAAGTTAAATGAGGCCAGTCTACGAACTTTAGGTGGTTTTCTTGATGACTTAAAGCTCCAAGTTGGCCAACTATCCTTGTCGCCAGCCGGTAATCGGAGTTCAAGGTCCTTGTTTCTTCTACGCTAACGTGTTCGATGAAAAAAAACTATAGAAAAACAACCTCTAGACACTCTCGACGCAAGATGAATTGATTTCAATACATGTCGTTGAAAATGATTGCGTTTTTCATCGTTACACCTGCACATCTAAGCTCATAAAAAACTTTAGTAGCTTGAGCAATAAGCAGTACTGAAGCGTTTGAAAAACGGTCGAACAAATTTCGAATTAAAACAATGTCTTAAAAAATCATATATAGTCTTCAACCAGGACCATGTTAGACAATAGTTTGAAGTTTTTCGGAATACAAACTTGGTCGTTGGTTTAATCTCGTAAGCCTTCTATCTCTCCGAAGTCGACAAATGGATACCAGACTTGTCTTGGAGCATAAAATCACCAACTCGATACAAGCCATTTTGAGTGATTGAAAAGCCAGAATACTCATTCAATCACCTCCTCGATGCTCGTTGGGACCGATTGCAACTGCATCTTCGAGAGACTGATCATCGCTGAAGAATTTACGCTTCATCTTTATGCACTTAGCAATCCAGTAACATTTCTTCTATAACTCTAGCAAATCTCCAACTTTTTAAATAGTTTACTCACCAAGAAAATTATCCTTCCTATTGGAAAAACCAACACCGGCGCAAATGTGTTAAGCACCACATCTTTTCTCAGCAATCTTCGCGATTTGTGAACACCTATGGCTAAAAGAAACAACAAACGAACAAATCACGTACAGTAGGAAAAGCTCTCAGTGTCGCATTATAGTGCTTTATTCAAAAATTTACCGCGTAATATCAACAATGAAGACTATATTCCATACCACTTGCCACTCGCTTCCGATGCTTATTCCTGAATTCCATGCCGCCTTCTAGAACACCTCTCAGGATGGAGTTCTTCTCTACCATATGAAATGTCCTGCGCCTATCACTGAAACACACCTTTAGTAGACTTCTAATTTGAGACCTTTAATAGCCTATGAAATTTTAAAAAAATTCGTTATTTTAGTTGGAGATTCTTGTTGATTACAACTCTGATCATTCAATGGTGTAAGTACAATTCACCTACAAATGAACACCACTAAAGAGCTAAGACCACCAGGAATTAAAACAGATCAAAACAGAATCTTTTCTCTATTTCGTAGCACCTCATTGGTTACGCTGTAATGTTGACCACGAAGTTCCTATATTAACCATTACTCATATTACTGTCCGATGAGCGCAATAGGTCCGCCAAAGGTACACGTTCTTCTATTCACTTAACTACAATTTCAATTCGCCTACTGAAACAGCATGCTTCCTTGTTCGGCATTACGATACTCATTAAACTGGACGGCCAACATGTCCCTCTCCGAGTGACGTCCTCTCAAAAGTCATCTCATCCTTATTTATCATTGCTCTTTTGTTATCGTTTTCTTCCTGTCTTTGTAAGTTTGGATTACGGAGTTGCTATACCTTTCATAGATTTTTAGAGCTAATACTGCCTTTTTTAAAAATAACACGTTACTGCTAACATTGTCCAACTTCTATTCGTTTGTTTTGCATTTAACATCCACGAAGAAAAGATTTGGATAACTTAAGATCCAGCCTCGGAATCTGCCTTCTACTGTTCGCCTTACTTTTATTTATTTATTTTTCGCATGGATCTTCCTCATATGTGGGATCTCGAGCACGCGAGGCTACGTGGCGCATCCCCAGGTGGCGGATAGGGGGTTAATCGCGGACCAAAGGCGACCTTTGCTTCCCTGAGACACAGTTGGATCCAGGGGATGAACTCACTCACTGTTTCCGCTACGCCGATTTCGCACATACTTTCTGTGTTTACGAAGCGCATTCATGCATGCGTGTATGGGTGCGTTCTTCGGCCAAAAGCCTGCAATCAAGTAACTGGGAAGTATATGGGAAGCGGTTAGGAGTCGCCTGTAACAAATAAGCTCCATGTTCACTCTGGAAGAGCCTGGCAAGCTACCCGTGAGTATACCTAGCTCCCACGTTCGGAACGCAGCAAGCTATAGGTGGGTATCAAAAAAGCTAAAAACAGTAAAAGAAAAAGGCCTCATTCCCCTTACCCCGAAAGAGCCCCAGTTTTGCAGCGTTGGGTAGGTTGAGTAGGGACAGGCTACTAAAACCTCAGGGCCAATGTAAGCCGCCTAGATTGTAAAGAACTAAGGTGACGATCTGTACCTACGATGCACCTACACTTGCATTCGAGTCCTCGATATAAGACTTGCTCATGCAAGCAAGATGGGATAAGGACGTCATCGGCATGGCCGAGATGAGATGACGCCACCCATTCAATGCCGTCTATGGCACCGGAAAAGAACTGTTCCTCGGAACATGTGACAGCAGAGGAGTCGGCGGCGTAGGCGTTCTCGTCAACACGAGTTTGTCCATGAACATCGATTCATTCCAACAACCTACAACCCGAATCGGACGTTTACGATTAAAAAGACGTGGATCAACTCCGGCTTTGACAATCTTCGTAGTTTACGAGCCGATATCAAATATGACGAAGAAGAAGTGGAGGTGATCTGTGTGGAATTGGAAAAGTTCTACAGAGAAGGCCATACATTCTTAAAGGTCATCACTGGAGATTTTGACACCAAGATTGGGCCAAGAAGAACGTCTGAAGAACGTTACATTGGGACCCAAGGATTAGAATGAAACAAACAGGGTGAGCGGCCCCTGAGTTTATCATGGTAACCAAGACTATGCATGGTAACTTGCAATTCCCAAAGTCGCGCCCTCAACGCTGGACGCGAGAGTCTCCTAACGAAGAGTACTATAACGAAATAGACCACATAATAGCAAACAGAAAGTTTTGCCTAACCGATGTTGCTGTGGTCCCAAAATTCTACAAGGGATCAGACCACCGCTTTCTTCGTGCAAGATTCCATTTCTCGCAGAAAGGAGGAAAAGCCGCTAAATTCAAAAAACGAAGCCCCAAAACCACTATAAACTGGGACTCATTCAATTCATTAGTCGGTTCTTGGGAAGATGCCGTTGTCGACAATATCGACGAGGAATACGGTCTGCTCATTCAACATCTTCACGTTAGAGCTTTGAAAACTGGGATTTCGAAAGTCACCAAGAGACGTCTGTCTCCAGAAACACTCGAGCTGATATGCCAGCGTGGAATCGCACAAGCTGCAGGCAACCGCGATCTGACGTCCGAACATGCAAAACAATGCAGAGAGGCGATAACATAAGAGCTTAAAGTGAGAAGAGCAGCGGTTATAGTCGAAGCTGCAGAGAATAGGAAAAGCATTCGTAAAGCATGTCGAAGCTTCACCAATTACAAGACCAAAATGATTGCACTCCGGCGCCTAGACGGAACAGTAACAACGTCCGGAAAGGCAATGAAGAAAATCATTCACGAATACTACTGAGATCTCTCCGATAGCCACTTCCACCTTCCGTCATATGAAATAAAGGAGGACGGATATGTTATACCACCGGTTCTCCCTTTCGAACTCTGACATACCACTTCGTCGGTGAAAAATCGAATAGCACCAGGTCCGGAGAGGATAAGACCAGAGCACCTGAAGAACCTTTCGCCAGTCCTCGTAAACACACTGGATCAGCTCTTCACACGTTGCCTGCCTGAATGCAAGGTCCGTACTTAGTGGAAGACCAGCAAGACCGTGTTATTGTTCGAAAAGGGTGAAGTACACCATTCAGACAACCATCGCCCAATCTGCTTGCTGTCCGTCGTCTACAAACTTTTCACTCGAGTCGTCTTAAACAGGATCGACAAAGCACTAGAAGAAGGACAGCCATGTGAGCAAGCAGGGTTTCGAAAAAGATTTAGTACGGTGGACCACGTCCACACGATAACAAGAGTTATTGAAGTATCGCGACAGTACAAAAGACCGCTCTGTCTCACTTTCATCTATTCATTTGAAGAAGGCCTTTGACTCCACTGAGATTCTTCGTAAGCTATACAAAGATTTGACAACCAAGATATCGCCATTTTATAACGATATTAACATCGACATCAAAAGGGAGGTTAGGCAAGACGACACCATCTCGCCTAAATTATTTACCATCACCATCCAGCACGTCATGCTAGTATTAGAATGGGATAATATGGGAGTGAAAATCGATGGTCGGCAATTACACCATCTTCGCATTGGTGATGGCATCGTACTTATAACATCAAACATTAGCCACGAGAAACGAATGCTTGCTGACTTTGATAAAGTCTGTGGAAAGGTTAGACTTCGAGGAAATCTCACAAAAACGATGTTCGCGAGAAACGCATTGGTTTCTCATGCCCCCTTCACGTTCAACGGTGCTAATATCTCCGAATGCTTCAGTTATGTCTATCTAGGTTGTGAAATCAACATGATGAACGACTTAGCTCCGGAGTTGAGTAGAAGGAAACGAGCGGCTTGTGGAGCCTTCAAGAGCATCGAGGATGCAATGAAGAGAACAAAGAACACCCGACTCCGTGCCCACCTTTTCGACTCGACGATACTTCCTGCGTTAACATAAGCTTCAGAAACTTGGTCGCTGCGTAAACAGGATGAAAAATCACAGCGTTGTTGAACACTCAGTCAAAAGCACGATGCTAGGTGCATCCCGTTTCATACAAGGGATGGGATCCGAAGCTCCGACCTGCGTCAACGATCACAAATCAAAGGTCACGTTCTGTACGCCAAACAGTCGAAGATAAGTTGGGCCGGACACGTAATGCGTATGAATGACAACCGATGGACAAAAGCCATTAGTGACTGGATTTCTCAGGAAGCCAAACGTACTGCAGGAAGACCACTGACCGAATGGTTATAGCTCTCATCGAAGAGCCTAGAAGAAAAATATGATGCTCACGAATCCCTAGGGCGAGCAGAACCCACCGAGCTATTCTTGCACGCAACAGAGAAAAATGGAAGATTTACTGGCGCCCGCTCGAGTTACTCGACGATCAACGGGACTACAGGTGGTACAGGTGTGATTCCGTACGACCCGTATTCTATACCTATTGTGTGGATTCAGCACTTCCATTCGATTCGCTTTATCGCGCACATCTTCCACAAAGGTCTATAAACATCTTTCGTGTTGCTCCGGCAACTGCATGAGGACTTTTCCTTGGTCATGAATGTCGTTGAATGCTGGTCAACTCGCTTCTCCATTAAGTCTTTTGGAAACCCGGGCTGAGGACTTCCATTGGGACTGCATGGAAGGAGCCGTCCTCAGACACGTCTGGTGCCAGTTTTCTGATTCCAGTTGAACGGAGGCCTCGATGGACCCGTGGTCTCTGTGCTGTCCATTTGAATGCTGCAAGAGTTTGGTTTTTCCACAGAATCTCGAGGTAGTCCAACTAGGGAAATGCCCGCACAGCATTCGGCAAATCTCGTGAATCGAAAGGATACTTGCTGCCATGTGAGTTCGTTGATGCTTTCGGAACGACGACGACTCCTTAAATGATCAACTGATCGATCGGCAACGATCTAACAACCAAAGCTTATTTATATGCTACATGAAGTCTTATAAGGTTTAAGTGTATTCCTAAGCACACCGTTTTTCTTGCAAATACTGCTTCACCTTTTCTCCTTTTGATTTCAATTCCACGGACTAGCAAATTCCATTGTTATTTTATATTTCAATAGAATCCGCCGTATTTTGACGAATCTTCTACCAGTTTCTCATAGCTAAAAGCACCTTCGCTTTTCTATTTTTCAGCCTTCATTACTACTTAACCAGAATATTTATAAAGCAAGGAAAAACTTAGGCTGGGCAAAAGAAAAGTAAAACCTTAGCTTAAGTCACCTTTAAATTAACTGGATATCACAAGGCCCAGCAATTAGAAAGTGAGAAATTCCTGAAAAGTATCACACAGTGTTCAGGAAAATAATCTGTCTGGAAACTAAGGTGGAATTTCTCAAGGACTGAATCAATACAAGCTACTTTACAAAGTAGAAGAGAATCTTTAAAGTTAGGAAATCTGTAGAGTAGCTGAAACACCTTCTTGCAAAAATGAAATTCTGCTTATGTGGGACTCATGTGAGATGAAAGTGTTCCATGTAGAAAAGAACAACACTATAATGGACGGCTTGTCTCATAACTGCAGCACTGGATCAATCCTTAGTGGGCGAAGTTTGGCAGAGCGATGTGAAACCGATCTGCAAAGGAATTAACGACGAAGGACGACGACTTTCGAACAACCGTTAGTGGATGGAGATAACGATTTAGATATGTGTCACCCATAACAGAAAAGCACCAAAGCAGACGGCGTTGTCCATAAGACATCCATAACGACAACATTACAATCATCCTAAGTGGAAGAAACTTGACAGATGCTGCTAAGCGTCGTTCATTGAGGATCGTCCCAATGTGGCCATTATGGAACCAGCTGGCCGTTGTGGCATTATTCCATTCTTTTTACTAGAGCACGTTTCATAAGTCGGCTATGCATTCCGTCTTATTCCATTTCCAACATCGCCGCTTTTCTCATTCGGAAAGGATCTGCATTTCTCCCCTTACAAAGTGTTGCACACTATCGATATCATGATTCCTGTGGTGACTAGACATCTAGTTTCTTCCCTTTTCATTTGAAGAAGCAGAAAAACGTATTCAATTGAAACAGTTCTCGTTTGACCTTTCTGTGAGACCTGATTTCTTTTTAAATTACTACACATCGTAGGCATCATTATTGTCACTCGTCGAGCAATTTCGTAAGGCATACACTTTTCCGTATCACAAACATCTTTTTCATCGTACGTCTTTTCAGGTTTTCTTTTTCATTTCCACAACATATTTAGGACAATCAGCTATCATAAACTAATAATTAATAGATGTTTTAGGTATTAAAAATTAATAGCAATCATAATTCAAAAGACCGAGTTTCTATAAACATCGGCATGAATAGTTGATATATTCATTTAGACGATCTCATAAACAGATCTTTTTGAGCTAATGAGAGGTTGATATAGGTTTTCTTGTCGTTGTCGCGTTTCGCCGATTTCGCCTTCCTCAGAGCCGTGCTTTGGGACTCTCATTGGGACATGGGACATAGTCCCACTCTTAACAGCGCGATTCTGAGGAAGGCGAAATCGCCGAAACGTCATCCACCGACCAACAGCACCAACAGCGACAACAACAACAAAGATCTATACCAACCTCGCATCAGCTCAAAAACACCAGTTTATGAGTTCGTATAAACAGGTATATCAATAATAATCGTACTTTGACGATGAACTCGATTGCTTGTTGATCGAATCCAGTCCATATCAAAGAAAAATATCTAAAGCATATTATTATATCTCATTACTATTTCTTTAAACTTTTAATATCTAGATGATACATCGTCCTTCTTTTGATATTGACTCTCCCATCAAACATTGCTGTTTTCCCATTCAATTTTTAATACCTGATGATCCTAAGTTTGAAAGCATTCATAGAAGCAATATTCCTAGTCACTTTGTTTCTAGATGTTCGAGCTTTATTGGTTTTATTTAAAACCCTTTATCTTAAAATCTGGGTAAAGTTGAACAATACCGGTTCCTAACGAAAAAATACGCTATTTATTCGGCCTCAAATCAGCTGCTCGTCATTAATTGACGAGTTTTGTCTATATTCCTACCAAAGTAAGTAAGGAGCGACGATCTTCACCTTAGTCTGGTTTAGTTCTTCACATTTTAATTTCCTTCGTAATATTCAAAAAGTAAAAGCATCGAAGAAAAGTTTCACGTTTATTTGTATTCTTTGTGTCGCTTTCTTGTTCAGCAATCGCGAGGTTTTTAAACAGCATACATTTACTTCCATAAAGAAAACACAATACAATACAACGCTAG